GAAATCCGCCTGCCTCTGCCTCCCAAGTGCTGGGGTTAAAGGCGTGCGCCACCACCGCCCAGCAAGCTTTTTTTTTTTTTAAAGCAGCTTCTGCCTATCAATCAGAGCTATGTTTCCATATTTCTGAATCATTCAGAATTCTCTTCTCCCAATGGAGTCCATAGATGAGTAACTGTGTCTTTGTTTAAAGTAATTCACTGTGGCTATTACAATTCTAAATAGAATTCAGTAAGATTTGCCCATTTCTTTAGAAAGGCTCCTTATTTTTTATGCATAAAATTATCTACATTCTAAACAGAAGATGTCCAGACTGTTCGAAGCCAGAAAATCCCACAATTCTCTATCTGGTATTTTGGTCACAGTGACACGAAAATTAACTAACACCAAAAATTACTTTGAGAGACATGCTGCCATTGCTAAGATAAACCAGATCATGTTGTTCTTCAGCCTTTGCACCTGCCTTTGGAAGAACATACATGAGTTTATAAATGTGAAATAGAAAAAGAATGGGGAAGGGGTGTCGTATAGTTAGTCAAATGCTACCTTATCATACATGAAGTCCAGGGCATAATCCCCAGCACCACACACACTTGGTATGATGGCAGGGAGAGGGGGAAGGGAGAGAGGAGGGGGAAGAGGAGGAAGATAGAGAGAGGGAAGAAAAGCCCTAGAATGCCATGAAACAAACCTTGTTGAAAGGTTTCTGGTGAGAGTTTGGAATCCCAGAGTGCTAAGAGGAATGTATATAATAAAGACCATGTTCATGGGTTTCTCACATTCAATCAGTGGGACCTGAACCAGAGGCCATTAATGTTACTGTAAAAGAATATGGCTACATTCTGTGTCCTGAAAATTTGAAAATTTGAGTAAGACTTAGTTCAAAAGGAAAGGACTAGCCAGGTGGCAGTCATAGATGTCTTGAGCAGAGAGTTCAAAGTCATCCTGGTCTACATGGCAAGTCCCAAGACAGCCAGGTCTGTTATACAGAGAAACTCTGTCTCAGAAAACAAACTAACAAACAAAAAACAAAAAAACAAAAGCAAAGTAAAATAATGGACTCAATTACTTGGCAGAGGAAATTTCAAGGCAGCAAAGCATCGCAGTATGACAGTTTTTAATCAATTTTACAGTGAGAACTGGGAGCAAACACAGAGCATGTGAATTTCAAAAATGTACAATTTGGCCAAGAAGGAAGTATGTACGAGGTTAAAGTTTCAGACAAAGCCAAGTGCACACAAATGGTTTTAATTATTACGGGGATTAGCACCATTAAAGAAAAGCCTCACACTTTGCATTGGGACAATTTACAAAAGGGACCATGAGCAGAACAATATCAACTACCTGGACCACCCAGAGCTCCCAGTGACTAAACCACCAACCAAAGAGTGTACATGGAAAGATCCATGGCTCCAGATACATATGCAGCAGAGGATGGCCTTGTCTGACATCTGTGGGTAGGGAGGCCCTTGGTCCTGTGGAGGCTGTAGGGGAATGCTAGGGCAATGAGGTGGGAGTGGGTGAGTGGGTGAAGGAGCTCCCTCATAGAGACAAAGGGGAGTGGGGGGGAGAAGGGATGGGATGGGAGGGGTAACAAGGAAGGGGAATATCATTTGAAATGTAAGTGAATAAAATAATTTTTTAAAAAATGTTCCAGAAACTGAAATAGGCATTAGAAAGACTTTATAAAGAAAGCCCTAGGTTGTCTACTCTAACGGGGTTACTTAGGGGAGTGTTTCCCTAGGTTCAGTAAAGCAAACACACAGGGTCCACAACCACTGTGGCCCAAGGAAAATAGCTACTCTGGCAGGATAACCTGCTGGTGTCTACAAGTTTCTGGTTTTGCAGACTACCAGAACTCATGTGTTGTGAGATTGTGGAAATAAATTTTCCAAAGAAATACCTGTGAGACCATGCAGTGAGGAGCAGGAAGCCTATGAGTGGGCTATGCATGCTATGACGACACTTCGAAGACAAAATCTAAGTTGCAGTGGAAACCTCTGAGTGCTACAAGTGCTAGGAATGTGATCTAGCTGCTCAAAGGCAAAACGAACAACACATAGTTATTCAATGGAACTGACCAAGAAAGAAGCAGATGGCAGGCCCAGAGAGGTACGGCTGCTTAACCAGACAAAACCTTATGTAAACACTTGCTCCAAAACCCATGGGCTGCAGGGGGCACTGTTTCTCTTGTTGGCTTCAGCACTGCTTTGGCTCAGTTTTCCATTGCTAACCTCCCATTTCCTCCTTTCAGAACCAGGATTCTTACTCTACCACTAGCTGTTGGAAGACATAGTCCATGAGAGAACATCACAGACCCTCGTGAGGGTAAAGCCGATTAAGAGAAACGGCTCTCACAAGTTGTCCTCTGACATTCACATGTGCACACACAGACACACAGAAAACTAAATATTTTAAAAACTATAGCATTCAAGTGTTTGTGGGTCCTTTTGCCTTGTTTGAGTTTTGTTTTGTTTAACTGATATTTCCAGCTGTTTATTCTAGAATAATTTGTGCTTGGCATTCTTTTTGTTTTACTATTTTCCTTCTGCTTATAAATGAGCAGTTCAACAGATGACACCATGTAGTGGTGAATAATCCTGCAAACACACTCAGGGTGAGGTTGTGGCAAAAACACTTAGATGTTCCTAGCTGTGCTGAGTCAGCTCCAGAGACACTGAGACCTGAAAGCTGAGAGCAGGGGGAAGGCAGTCTGAGGTCATCATGTGTCCGCAAACATATACTGAGTTACCCTGTGAATATTGTGGATGTCATTTGCACTACCACAAGAAAAGGGAAAATGAGGAAAGTGACAGGATTGAGGGCCATTGGGAAAAGACCCAAAAAAGATGGCTGTGTGCCTGTCAAGCTATAGCCTAAACAGCTCTCAGATAAGAAAGCACAAATAACCAAAGCAATCCAGCTGCATGAAAGGAGAAAGATCAATCAAAAGAAAGATAAAAAAGACTCTACCAGGAGTACCCTATCTGACTTCCAGTAGAAAGGGACAGTCCTAGCAGTTTCCAATATTGACAGAATCAAAATGGAAAGAGGTGGAAAAAAGGGAAGCCCCTCTACTCAGAGCTCCTAAATCCTAAATGTTATCCAAACAAGAAAAGGAGGGAGCAACATGTAGAAGAAGATGGTCACTAAAATCTGCTTTTTACAGATCTACTGAGATATGAAGGACTCATGAAGCCAGAAGGATTGCATGTCAAGAAGGTCCAGGCCACATACTCTGAATTAAAAGTTGTCCTTGCCTCTCCCATAACAACCTTTTACCTCATTTAAAGTAGAATTTCTCATTTCTCCTATGTAAAATTTTTTATACTATAGTTTTATACTAAAGATACTGTCACTTTCTTTTGAGACAGAGTCTTGCTATAGAGCCCAGGCTGGCCTTGAACTTGCTTGCTCTCCACTTTTGCTTCCAGAGTGTTAGGATTGCATGTATACAAGACTAGGCTCAAAGGTATTGTCACTGATGTGAAAGCCAGCAAGCAGTGCTTCTCTCTTGAGCCCAGTTCTGTTCAATGCCTGTGGGTTTGTTTCCGTGACAGATATCCCACTTTTCTGGCATTTCTAGCACCCAGGAGGTTGCCATGGCAACCTTAGATTTTCAAAGATTCAGGAATTGCCAGCCCAGGGACTTTCTGATATACGTTTGGTTTGGTGTTGGTATTGATGTTGGTGTTTGGTGGTGGGTTGGGTTGGGTTGGGTTGGGTTGGGTTGGGTTGGGTTGGGTTGGGTTGGTGTTGGGTTTGGTGTTGGGTTCGGGGGTCAGGGTCGGGTTGGGTTGGGTTTGGTCTGGTTTGGTCTGGTTTGGTTTGGTTGTGTTTTTTTTTAACATAGAGTCTCCTGCCTAGGTTAACCTCAAACCCTCTATGTAGCCAAACATGATTTTGAACTTCTGCAAGATACCCAGAGCAGAAAACATGAAGCAGAGAGCAAACTGGGGGGGGGGGGGGCAAGCTGGGCGGGGGGACTATAATCGCTCAAAGCCTGACCGAAGTGACATACTTTCTCCAGCAAGGCCACACCTTGTAAACCTTCCCAAACAATGCTTCCAACTAGGGACCAAGTGTTTAAATGGCTGCGTCTATGGGGCATTTGTCATTTAAATCACCAGAGACAGGCCCTGAAGTCACTTCCTCCTCAGTGTTCATTGGTATTCCCTAACTCTTCCATAAACTTGTTTACCTGTGAGATTAATCATTATGGTCTCCATATAGCCAAAAAAATTAGTATCTAAAACATTTTCCCTTTTCATCATATAAAAGCATCACTGCTTGGATATCTTAGTAATATATTAAAGAATAAAAAATGACTTCCTGTAGTAGCTTGACAAAAGTGAAGTTAGATCTGTCTTGGACAAACAGCTAGCTGAGATACCTATTTAACATATCAAAGAGGACCTGTTCCTGGGCTGGAAAGTTCAGGGTAGGGGTAGGGTATGCTAGTCATACGCTGTAACAGGTAAGGACAGAGGGATGCTGGGAGAACCTGGTGGCCTGATCCACTTTGATTTGTTAAATAGGCACCTCAACTGGCCATTAGTTCTGTGTTTGAGATCTAACAAGTGAGCCCAAATTAATCTCTACTTCCACCCTTCTGTCTGGCTGTAACAACAGGTTTGCTCAGTAGTTTTTGAACACCACAGAGAACATTGTATGGCAGGAGAATGGGCAACTCTTTACAGAGATCTTTAACAGGGTTTACAAAGGAAGTAGTTACTGAACTGACCCAGAACTATTTGCACTAACTTCAAACAGATGTTATCAACCCAAGTCCATACATTGCTTCTAGTAGATATAGGATATTTGATTTGTTTAAGGTTTCTTTCAACTTCTTAGCTACTGTCAGCAAATGATTACCAAAACACAGACAACACTTTGGGTCAGGGAACAGAAGAGTACATATTTTCAGATTAAAGTTAAGTATTTAGTTTAGGCTGAAAAACGATGACTGCAGGGAAAATCCAAGGCATAGTAACTTTGGTTACCTTGTTCTCTTTAAGACAAGTTAAGTTTACCCTGTCTGAGTAAACAGGAAGATCGCAGGTTGCCTGCAGGGTCTGGTGAAAGTTCAGTCCCTTTGAAGACAAGGAGGACTTTCAGAAAATCCATCACCACACTTGGACCTACACAAGAAAAGATTTAAAAAATACTAAAATGTACTGATAAGTATGAAGTATAATGCAGCAGCAGGCCAGGGTACCTGGTGGACACATGCCAAGGTGTCCCCTTGAGAAATCGCATCATTCGACAGACCTGGTATAAATAAAGTTTATTTGGGGGAAGGGAAGGGAGTGAAGGCCTGGAGAAGGGATAGAGGCAGACAGACTGGAACAGACCCATGGGGGTAGAGAAGGGAGAACAGAGAATGACAGAAAGAGAGAAAGAGGTTGGCCGGGAGAATAGAACGATATAGAAAACTGGGTGTGGCCTGGCATGAAGGCACATGCCTTTAGTGTCTGCACTCAGGAGGCAGAAGCAGACGGATCTCTGTAAGCCTGAGGACAGCCTGGTCTGTCTAGCAATTAACAGAATAACAAGAGTTACACAATGTGACCTCGTCTCAAATAAATGAATGAATGAATAAGTGAATAAATAAATGTAATTTTAAAGGAAAAGAGCATGGTCAATTTGTTGAGCTCAGTTTATTAGGAATCACTAGGAACTTCTCTAGAGCTGGTTGTTAGAAGCCAGGATCTCTTGGTAAGCCATTCTCTGCCTCTCCTCCCCACCCCACTCCTACCACTGTGTGCAGAGCTCAGCAGTTTGGGTCTTCAACCCTCTATGGTTTCAGCTGGGGAAGTCGGGAGTGCTGTTAGCGTTCATCAGACCTTTCCATAATTGATGATCTGTCATGAACCACAGGGATCAGAGTTTCAGTTAGTGTCCAAAGGATTTTAACCTGACTCCACTCAGAAGCCTCCTGGGGCATGTGTACAGAAGAGTCTGGAAGGACAGAGCACCAGCATCCGTCCTAGGCAAGGTCAAGAGATTATTCATGAGCAGCACAAATGGTTTCCCCACCCTCTGCAGAGGCAGAAGCAAAATAAAAATATGTGCAACCCCTGCCGCTCCCCCCACCTTGTTCCTGCTTACTACAAACAACTGGAGGAAGCTGGGCAGGTCTTACCTGCTTACAGGGACTTACAGGTACTGACCTCCCAACAGGCACCCTCCACACTCTGCTTTCATGGGATAGGCACTGATTATTCCCCTGGCAAATACAAACAACAGAACTGTTAGTTCTGGGACTGGAGTGATGATGTGTGTCCAACATAGTGAGTGTAAGAAAATGGTTAAAATGATTAATGCGCAATTCTCCGTTACGTACCATGAACTGAAGGTCTCAGGTGGGAGAAAGCCTGTGTTAGAGATTCTGCAACGATGAGTGACTGCTTGGAACTTCCTGACTGTGGAGAGTTGGGATGCTGCAGGTCCACAGCCAAATTATGCCATGTTATCTTTAACCCTTAATACCATGTCTTGCCCATCTTTGTTTTTGACCTAATAATATCCTTGTGACTATCGTGTGAAATATTTGGTTATGTATTGACTTACCAAATCACTAGTTTCCACCAACCCCAAAGCCAAGAATGCCTGCCATCAAACAGTGCTGGAGACCTGCGATAGAAATTTTCCTTCCTTCCTTCCTTCCTTCCTTCCTTCCTTCCTTCCTTCTTTTCTCCCTTCTTTCCTTCTTTCCTTCTTTCCTTCCTTCCTTCCTTCCTTCCTTCCTTCCTTCCTTTTATAACATCTTTGTGAGTCTTTTGTTCTTGTTTTGTTTTGTTTTTTCAAGTCAGGTTTTTCTGTGTAGCCCTGGCTCTCAGGAACTTGCTCTGTAGACTAGGTTGGCCTAGAACTACCTGTGTCTGCCCACAAAGAGTGCTGGGATTAAAGGCCTCAAAAAACTTTCTTTTAAAAAATGATTTGTTTATTTTTATTTTGTGTGTATTGGTGCTTTGCTTCATGTATATCTGTATGAGGGCATTGGTAATACTGGAATTAGAGTTACCAAGAGTTGTGAGCTGCCATGTCGGTGCTGGGAACTGAACCTACATCCTCTGGAAGAGCAGCCAGTGCTCTTAACCACTGAGCTATCTTTCCAGCTCATTTGAAAACATGCCTTTATTTATGTATGGCTTTCTTTTTATTTGAAAAACTATAAAAACATCGTGAAGCCATTTCCACACTGAACATGTTGTTTGGGACAACACACATCTATGTTCCCAAGCCATGGGCACGCATGTTTGGCTCAAGAATAAACTCTCTTTTTGTTCCCTTTCAAATGAGATTAGTATTTTGCCAGTTAAAACAAAGGTAGAAGCCGGGCGGTGCTGGCGCACGCCTTTAATCCCAGCACTCGGGAGGCAGAGGCAGGCGGATTTCTGAGTTCGAGGCCAGCCTGGTCTACAGAGTGAGTTCCAGGACAGCCCGGGCTATACAGAGAAACCCTGTCTCGAAAAACCAAAAAAAAAAAACAAAGGTAGAAGCTGGGTATGGTGGTATGCCTGCAATCCAGTACTTAAGAGGCAGGGGCAGAAGGATTTCCATGTGTTCTAGACTAACATGGAGTCCAGGATGCTCAAGTTATAGAATGAAGCTTAACTATAAAATAGGGAATGGAGTAGAAACTCAGTTAGTCAACTTAATTCCGAAATCTAAGATCCATTACCAACTCCCTCCTTCGTTCACTCCATAAAAGGTCAATCAGGGAGCTCTGATACCTCTAGAAAATATTCAAATCCTCCCCTTTGGTCTCCACAGCATGCCCTGGCCCCAGCTACCACCTCCTTCCCTTCTTACTACAGCAGTTTCCTTTTAACCCATCCTACCTCCAATCTTCCCTTCTTCAGCCCACCGCTCCTCAGAAGACAAAGGGAGATCTATCTATCTATCTGAAACAGGATCTCCTGTAGCCTAGGCTGGCCTTGAACCCCTCTGTAGCCTAGAATAGCAACGAACTTCTAGTTCTCCTTCAGCCTCCGGAGTACTGGAACTACAGGCTACAGGCATGTGCTACCATCGTGCCTAGTTTACATAGCACCAAGGATCAAACCCACGGCTCTGTGCATGCTGGGTAAGTGCTCTACCAACTGAGTCACATCTCCAGCCCCAAAGTGAGCTTGTAAGACCCTTGGCTCTTAGAATAAACGCTGTGCCTCCTCCCACAGCTCCTGGTCCAGCAGGAGGCTTGTCAGGTACCTCTTGCTTTCACACCATGTTCCAGCCATGGCAGCCACCTTTCAGTGCTTTGGATCGATAAAATCATCCCCACTTTGGGATCTTGTTCTTGCTGTCTCCTGTATTGCTGCCCCTTCCTTGCACTCAGACTGCTTGGAACAATGTCACCTCTGCAGAAAGGCTCTCCTTTCTAAGTCTAAACTTGCCACTCAGCCTTGCTATCACACCTGCTGTGTTTTCTTTCCAGCTCTTCTCATTCCTTGATATGCTGTTGTCTGTTCTGTCCATCTGCTCTCCTTATCATAGAAACAGCATGAAAATCTAAGCAGGCACTGCTGTGCCGTCTGCTCTTAGAGCAGGCCATGACACAAGAAAGGCACAGCAAGTATTATGAGTGGATGGTAAGGAATCAGAGTCCACATCTTAGCCAGCCTTTGTGCCTCATTATCTGCAACCCCAGCACTTAGAAGGCAGGGGTTGGGTCTCTGTGAGTCCAAGGCCTGCTAGGGCCACAAAGTGAGGCCTTCTCTGAAGAATGAATCCTGGCTTTGAAAGCTGAGTCTAGAGGACTGCTGTGAATTTGAGGCCAGTATGGGCTGCATAGCAAGTACCAGAATGGTCTTGGCTACATAGCAAGACCTTGGCTCAACAAAATAAAAAAGGCCATTGAGATTCCCACAGGCAAAGGTGCTTGCAGCTAAGCCTGATAAGCTGGTTCATGGTGAAGGGAAAGAACAGACTCTCATGTCCTCTGACCTCTATGTGTGTGCACACACACATAAACAAACAAGTAAATAAGTATAGTTTAAATTTTTTAAAACAAAAAGAGGGAAAGGGGCAGGAAGACAGGAATGGAGAAGAGAAGAAGGGAGGGGAAGAGAGGAAAGGAGGGGAAGAGTGGGAGAAGGGAAGAAGAGGGAGGTCAAACCACAGAAAGCCAAGGATAGAACAGCAGTCACCAGGTCTCAGAAGAATCCTGAGCTAGGCCTGATCTCTCCTAAAGCCTCCAGAGGCTCCAGGGCTGCTCTGCTCACATCCTGAGTTCAGACTCTCATTCTCCCAAAGTGCAAGAGAACCATCAATGCTCATTGCTTTAAGTCTCTTTCCCAGTCTGTCGTCATTTGTCCTGACAACCATAGGACAAGAATCTATTCCTCAAATTGCTATGAACTCCCCTCATTTGACTGAGTGTTCCATCTGCTGCCAAGTGTATGTGTATTTTTCACATTCCCTTACTTCTTGCAATAGCCAAAGGCAGCTTGAAGGGGCCTGGTATCCATGTGAACAGACTGCAAATGGAGAGTGGAGAACAAGTCATCATCACAGGGACTGAAGCAGTGACGCAGGTATTAATGATAGACCAGGTGATTGACTACCTCAAAGCTCTGGTTGACTCAGGGGTGGCTTTCTTTTGGACCAGTCCACATGTAATTAACAATTTTTCAACCTCAGCCTTTAGGTCTCACCATTGGAGTTGCCCCTGAGCCTGGCCCCTGTGGTGTGGGATTTTAAACCTTGCAGTCTGACTGGAACTTACACAATTGCAAAATGAGCACTGCTGACAGATGACCACAATATGTCTGGCTCATAGGTCTGTCCGGGTTCTTCCTCAACTCCATGCATTGGTAAAGATCCAAGTTTGGGGTATTTACTGGAGCCTTCCCAGGTAAAAGAGAAAGGGATAGTGAAAGAAATGTAAAAAGCAAAAATAAAGCTGTGGGTGAACACCTGGGTGAGTGGGCCTGAGGATCAGAAGTTCAGAACTGGGCTGGAGGGATTGCTCAGTGGTTAAGAGCATGTGTTGCTCTTACAGAGGCCCTGGGTTTGACTCCCAGCACCTACTGGTAGCATCTGTAACTCTAGATTGAGGGAACATGACTCATGTATGTGGTTCACTTACAAATATGTATGCAAAACATTCACATAAAAAATAAAAGTTTTTTAA